TTCCAGAGCTAGCTAATTAAAAGCTACTTTGGATATGGCTTCCCTCTGGTCACCATCACAAGGACTCAGTGGACACATAACCAGAGGAAGATAGAACAGATTTGTTTTCTGAGCAAAATAAACTATCATTTTAGACCCACCTCTCAGATCAAGATAACAACTATTACTCCTGCATTTCACTGCTGCAGAGCTGATTTGGATGCAGTGGATAATGAAAGAGAACTGCTACCATGAAAACTACATACTCAAAATCATGCCCTTTTTCAGGTGGAGGCAAATAAAAAAACCATCACATTGGGCCTTACATTTATATAATGTTATATGATTTAAATCCAAAGTGGTAGATGAATGATGACTGAAATTTATTTGGTTTTAGTGTGACCAGATTCAGACCTACCTGAACAATGAAATTAAGTGATTTTATGTATGTGTGCCTAGATAGCTTTAATGGGAGTCTATATTAAATATAAAATTACATAATAAATATATATTTGTTCACACACAGGTTTTTTTAGCATAATCTGATTTCTACTGTATAGTGGTGCTAAATAGAAAAAAAATGCATTTCACTTCAATTCTGAACATGTCTATATTTTCCAAGAGCAATTCTTAGAAAATTGCAAGAGGTTATGTCTAAGGTCATATGGACCTACAACAGTAGATTTCTTTACAGAATGAAATAGAGATCTCAGAATTGCAAGTAATAAATATGATTTTGATAAGCACTTCTACACAGGAAAATATGAAATTCCTAAAAAGTTTTCTGTGAAGCACCTTCCTCTTCCTGTCCTGTATTACTCTATACTTATAAATAATAAAAAAGGAGACTGATAACAGTAGCTTTATGTAAGCAAGCTTAGAAATCACGCTCAGATAAGTGCTTTTGACCTAAATCTTGTAGCGCCTCGATCTGACATATAACCCCACAACTGTGAAATTCTGTATGAGATTTAGCAGTTTGAAGCTGCCAACTGACCCAGCCATAAAGCAGCCAGAGATAAGGATTTAAGGTACGATATGATACAATTAGACATTCACCTCCGATTTATTTCAGCCCATTTCAGTATTTAACCTACTTAAAAGTTGCAAGCTTTTTATTAAAATGTAAATGCTTGTGTGCCATATATTTAAAGGCAGCTAATAACAACAAGAAAAGACTCTCATAAATTAGATTTCTATGAATGAAAAGGGTAAACAGGAGATGCTTCTGCAAAACTCTTCTAGACGTGCAGAGATAAAGGATGGTTCTACCACACAAAATAATCAGATACAAAAATAGCTGTTCAGAAACAGCACACCTAAGGAGTACTTTAATCAAGCATTTAGGTTACCTGCCAAAAGGACCATGATCTCTTCAAAATGCAATGCGGATTAAAGTGTTATCTAACACAAGCAGAAAACTAACCTTGGAGTGGAAGTTCGAAATGTGTTCATCATAATTTTCATGTCTTTGGATAGAGAAACCAGCTTTTTCAGCTAGATTGCAAAACTGGTTTAAAGTATTCCCTCGGAGTGGAGCAAATACCATTGCTTTTCCCTGGAACATTAAAAAGAGAATTTATACATTTTTAAAACTGGAAGGGAACCAGATATAACATACACCTGACTAAGCTTTTAATATGCTCAAGCTGGAAAAGTCAATTGTTCTCTTGGTAAAATACTAAAATAGGGTAATATAAATAATAGTTCAAAATATACAAGATTTCTGTGATTAAACAAATGCAAAATAGAAATCAACAAATAAATACTTTCTTTAGAAAACTGCCAACTGCCACACATCTGCTTCTTTTCATATAATAATGGTGGCTATGAATTACCAAAATAAAACACAGAAAAAGCATATAAACATATACTCAATGCAAAACCCATTTGTTAGCTCATAACCATGCAAAGACTGTAAATAATGATTTTCTTTTTTCACTTTCACACATACAAGAGTACCTCCCATTTGCTGTCAGTGGAATTACAACACTGTAAAACAAGCCAAAAAGGGAGGCAAATCAGACCCAATCATTCATTTTTAAAAGCTATTTTAAACTACCTGAGCAGTGCAACCAAATTTGACCTTAAATTGGTAAATTGCATTTAAAGCAGGACTTAATGTTCTTGCATAGTAATTCTGGATCTTTCAAGATGATCAGGGCATTTATGATGCCCAGGCAATACATTATGGTCTGTTAGCTAATTTTTTGTTCATCCTTCTGTATTTAAGAAAACAAAAATGACTGCACCTTGAGCTGATAGATTTTAGACACTCTGTGCAAAGTACTAGCCCAAAACCCAACCTACTTGATACAGTACCTCTTGAAATCTTATTTGCAAAATTAATTCTAATTGGCTGAATACTGTGTTCTGTCACATGGAATGAAAACTGGTTGAAGAGCTGTAAACAAAGGTTAATAGCCAACAGCTTATCACACGGAGGGGAGCCACAAAGTTTACTGTGAGTTCTTGTGTTTAACTTCTATATTAATGAGAGCTAAGACTAAATTGTGACGTGCTGTAATCAATCGAAGAGACAAAAAATATTTTTAGGGACCTGAAGAAGTTTTAAAATTATTAGATGCCATAGAATAATATTTGGCTTGATAAAATGCAACCTTGGATACCAGAGGAAAAAAGCAATCAAAACTTCACTGGTAACTCTGGAAAGTTACAATGCTGACACACATACTTAGTGAGGACAACAGGGAACAAATCTGTGTGTTACAGCTCATGCACATATAAGCTGAGACAACACGCAGTGAGGCAGCAATAAAAACTCTACGTCAGTATCTATGGTACTAATGTGTACTCAAAAGATTCCAATCATTAATACCACAGCACTGTATTTATTCTCACAATGCCTCTGTGAGATAGGGAAATACTCTTATCCTCATCGTTCTCATGGGAAATTTAAGTACAAAGGAGACCTGGGGCAATATCTGAAACTACTCACTTCTGTTCATTTATGTAGCTATAACTTTAATTCCACGGCTAAATGTGAGGTGCAAACGGGTGTAACTCCCACCGAAGGCACTGGAATTGCTTATGTAAATGTTAGGTCTGAATATAGGCTCAGCTCAGGATGAAAAACATTAAACACAGGAAATCACAATCAATGCAAAATGTGCTGTAACTTCCCTCACATCCTTGGCACGCTTTAATGTCATCAGACAGAAGAAGGCAGCAAAGGGAGCCTACAGCTGAGGATCCTCCTCCTGCTGCCATCTCACGCTCTCCAGAACATTGTTCTGCAAGGACCCTTCCCAGCATAAGAAGGATGAGACTCCTCTGGCGTCCCTCATCTCCATGAGCAGCTTCACAGAGAGGTCACCGTAACAGGGACCAGGTCCACACCCAGGGCTCGCTGACCACATGACTCACATGGGGACTTCAGGATGGGCTTGAACGGAGAGTGCTGGGGACCCCAAGCCCTACGTTGGCCATGGATCCAGCAAATTCAATGAGGAAGCAAAGCTCAAACAACAGCAACCCTCCTTAAGTTTTCCACTTGGAGTCAGAATTCCATCTGGTCATTCCTTCTCACACTCTCTGTAGACTAATTACCTCAAACTTAATTTGGCAGAGAAGTACAGTAAAATAGAATGCAACACGGTATGAAATATCTCTTAAAAACAGAACAAAAATCTTGAAGTAACTCCAAAAAAGGGGAATGGCCTTTCATGGAAATCACTACATAACTAATTTTGGCTTGCTCCTTAGTTGGTGTAAAACCCCATTCTTCTTTTGAATTTAGTGTACATCCTAAACACTTTAGGATCTTGTTCTTGCTGATTAAAAAAACAAGGAATCATGATTTAAGTTTATCACTACAATAATCTCCTTAAAACTGGAGGAGGTTTTGGTGAGGTATTGTCAATTCTGGTCTACCATAACCTGGGTTTGAAGCACTTTCTTGTCAACTGACTGATCCCTGTGACTCTGATAACCTGTTGTGGGGCTCCATTTACATTTCTAATTTTAAAAATGGTTGCTCTATAATAACAAAATTAGACCAGTGGGCTGGATTTACACTTGATGGGCTATCCTAAGGTTGTTTAATTTGAAGCTTGTAATTCAAAAGTGCCTCCCAGTTTAGGATGATATTTCAAGTTCAGAATGGCACTTCCTTAGCTGGGAAAATACTTCCAGTAAACTCCTAAAGAAAATGCAAAGGAAAATGTCTATTTCCATTACAATATTTTGAAGTGTCACCAAAATGCTTCAACTAGATAATGGGACAGAAGTTCACATTTTGGACATGACTAGGACTAAGTTTATTCATCAATCATTATTAAATGCAGTCTTATTTGATGGTAATAATCACAGTTCAATAGCATCCAATTGACTTCATTGGGATTTCGGATGGTCAGGCCACAGTAGAATCAAAGCCTTCATAAAAGATGTTCTTACTTAGGGAAATACACAAACAAACAATTGCTTGTTCCGAGACTGAAATTAAAAGCACATTTTAATGGTAGGAAAAAATAAAACTAAATGTTGGCAAATCACGTAGCTTGCTTATAAAAGGAATAAAATATAGCCATTCAAGATAAATTTGTTCGATGTAAAATTTCAGTGCCTAATTCTTGGAATTGATTTACAGGTGACATTTGCCTTTGTAACAAATTCAGGTAAGAAATTTTAGTACCCAGTTACCCTGCGAGCTGCTCATTTCTGCCTGTGTGAATTTCTGGTCCCCTCTGCCTGTGCCAATGCAACTGTCCATTGCATGGTATTATGAATCAGATGACTGAAATGACCAGAGTCCTGTTTCCAGGAAAACAAAAAGTTACCCAAACCACATAATTCCGTGCCATAAGGATTCTAAGAGCCACAAACAACACCCTTCATGAGAAGGGAAGTACTGCAGATAACACCCTTCGTAAGAAGGGACGTACTGCAGATAAATTTATCTCTTTTTAAATTAACAGTAAGAATAGATTACCTGTTCTGAATTTCTCCTTCAAGACAGCTTTGTAAGGTTACCCGTTATTTTCTGTTCACTCCACTTTTCCTTTCAGTTTTGCTGGCTCTTATTTTCCCTGCACTCTTATCCAAGTTACATATGAAAGATGTCTTACATCTAGATGTGTCTTCGATTTGAGAGTGTTCCTCTAACAATTTGGCAAAGTATTACCAATAAGCAAATGTAACTTCTAAATTTGAGACAAAATAATTCATGTGGAAGAGTGAACTTAATCAAAGCACTTTATGCCTTAGCTTGGGCATAAACTAATGCCCACAAACTATTCTTAATTATTGCAAGTGGCAAATTAGTTCACTATTAATTTATTTTTCCTTCAAAGGCCAAAGTACAGAGCCATTTAGTAAAGTTTCCTCTCATGTTATTCTTAGATTTATACAGGTTAACAAGAACAGTAAAAATAATAACTATTACATACTTGTGATTGTATTTTCTCTTTGGATCTCAAATGAGTATATGCTTTTATTTGGGTCTTTCATACGACCATGAAAGCATATGCTTGAAGGCATCTGTTTAATATGTTCTTTTTGGACGAGAAGGCTCATTTAAGCTGTCTGTACTTCCAGCTTCTACCCCACGTGATAGTTTGCTGTCCACTTAGTTATGAATTACAACAATTTGCAGGCCATGCCATAACTGCATATCCATCCATATGACTATAAGTTAAGTTAAAAAATACAGTTCAGACAGTGGTCCAAACTGCAGCAACAGAAATTCCTGCAAAGAGCAAGGTTTTCTTAAGCTAGTTTTGCCGACAAGAGATAGGAACCATGGCCTAAAATGCAGAGCAAATAATACAGGCTATGCTATTAATCCCAATGTGCAGAAGTGAGCCAGACTAGGAAGATGGGTAACAAAAAGCCATCTCCCTTTACTCCATCTACATTCACAAAGGACTGTAGCTCACCTAGTCTGAAAAACAAAGGCGTGTTCTGAATTTGAACTATCTGACTGGAGTTAAAAAGCAAGAGTCAGGCCAGTTTTGGTTTCTAGACGGGTTAACAATTCCTAAATTGTCATAGAGGGGAACCTGAGCTATGAACACTACTTAAAATTCAGGCTGCCTTGTTAACACTGTGTTTTAAATGAAATTCTCTGGTTGGGCGAATCAGCCCAGGTAAAGGATGCATGTGTCTCTGCATACACAAACACGTGTGTACTCATCCTTTTGGCAATATAGACCACCAGACCATGATTAGCTACGAGAAGGAGACAAAACAAGGAACAGATATTCTTCTAGTCCAGCTAGAGGCTCTAACTGGGTCACAGGAACGGGGGCACCTCTTATACACTTCTCTTCCTGCCACTCACACTCTTCTCCCCCAGTGCAGCTGCTACAGTGGCCTATGGGACTACCTGAAGAACCAGGTGCGGACATCAATCTGGGCTGGAAAAAGCACTTTTTGATTTTTTTAAACTGGAATCAGCTTTGTCTTCCAGATCTTTTGGGATCTGGAACCCAAAATTTGGAGTTTGGGGAGGTTTTGGGACATCTGGTCCCCAAAATTATTGTACCCTGACAAATGATGGTACATCACGGAAGTCAGAATGCATCACTCTGGGCAGGAGCTGCTTAACCTCCCCTTGTTGCCAATGACAGATATATCAGGGTAACCTTTTCCTCAGGGCAGCTACATTTCTCCTGTCTTCCTGGGAGCCTCGCCCCAGAGCTCATTAAAATAATTCAGTCTTAAGTAACTTGCCTTAAGTCACTCAGCAAAGTCTATGATAGAACCAAGAATAGAAACCTGATCACTCTTAGCAAAGAATGGGATTACTTACATGACTAAAATGACTCTGTTTCTTAAGCCTTTGCACGTTTGGGTCTTCTATTCCTTTTACAAAGAAAATCTCTTGTACAAAAAGTACAGTACAATTTTTAAATAAAGTTTAGAGAATGCATTACTAACATGAAATACTTTTGTTTTGAAATGGAAAGTTTGCCTTACAGGAAGATTTGTATGATAAGCATGAAAGGTAAAATTCCTGTTTCAAATACCTACTTACAGCAATTACTTCGCGTTGGCTCGTATTCTCATTTTGATATCTTTTTAAAAATTTTTTATTTTTAGGATTAAGATTATTTGTTGGGATTAAATATACGCACATAACAGCTTTTTTTTTTTTTTTTTTTTTCCTTAAAGGTTTTGGAATCTGCTTTTATGTAGGTGTTTGTATTTAGTTGTTTAAATTTTTTCATCTTATGTTTGTGGTCATTAAAGAATATGAAAATGAAGCACGTTTTGTTGACTGAATCTGTTCGAATCGGTTTCACTTCATGATTTATTTGGGATGTGGACATGTGCTAAGGTTTTGCACAGTAAATGCCAGTATTTCTGCATCTTTAACAGTGAGCAGACATCCACTGAAGAAACGAGATGAGAACAAGCAAAGAATGAGAAAGTAAAAATGCGTCTTCTGCTACTGTAGTGTGTTGAAAAGCTTGCAAGGTTATGATTTATATGCTCTTGTAAACTTGTTTATTAATATTTCATCTGAAAAAGTACTTGTGTGAGATAAACAGGGAAAAT